GAGCCACCCAGGCGCCCTAGCCGTTCTTCCTTTTTAAAAACTATGTATTAGGGAAGCTATCGAATGTGCCTTTGTACAAAAGTGGGGAGGTGCAGTGAGCCCCGTGTACCGGCCCGCTGCGGCGTTCCTTCCACCCTCCCCGCCCTCGGACCTCAGAAGCCGACCCCGGACAGTGGCCCGCGTGCTCACTCCGGAGGGGCCCACCACGCCCATCCTCCATCCAGGCAGGACTCCCCTCTGCCCAGGCTGAAGGGTCACGAGGATTAAAAACATTCTGACACCTTTAAATCCGTGAAAATCAGGACATTATTTCTCTTGAGTATTATGTCAGCATTCAGAAGATTAATGAGGACCATGAAACGACGATGAGTATGAGAACGGCTAAGATTAATCTGTGTGGTATCTTTATTACTCACAGGGAAGGGAGATGCTATAAGGGAAGAAGTACAAACCCCAGTGAAGACAGAGATAGCACAGACCTGAAAGGTTAGAAATAAAAAAATAGAATGAGCAGCTATCCCCAGAGAAGTAAACTGGGAGACAGTAAACTGGGCAGTCGAGGGTGGAGGGCGCGGATATGAGGGCGTGTGGCGGGCCCGCTGTGAGGCGAACACAGTGGAATGCTTTCGGTTTAACCATGAGCCTGAAAAACGGACAGACGATTCCATTTCCAGAGTATAAAATATTTTTATATAAAATATTTTCTTCATTTATTAAAATGGATGCAGTGAAAATGAGTGGAACCCTTGCTGTCAGTCTCTTTGAGAGGAGATTTGGGACTAAGGGCAATCTCAAGCTCCCTTCAGAGAAGATTATTTCAGAATCACTCAGAAGGAGCTTACCAAAAATGATTTCACTTCCGATACAAACGCATGGTGTAGACCGCTTAGGAGCGTGGGAATTCTGACCGCCAGTGTTCCTGCCTGGACAGTGGACAGTGTGCACTCCCGGGCAGTAAGCAGGCTGGAAATTGAGACCCAGCAGTACCCCCTGGCTGGGCAGGAGCCCGGGAGCCCAGTGTAAAGCTTGCTGGTGAAAAGGGCTCAGCTCCAGCCCAGAGGCCTGAGTGAGTTCCGGTTGTTCCCGCTCTGTCCTTTTGCATCTCTGAGACAGGCTGCGAGGACGAGGGGCTAGAACTGAGATGGGGACGAAAGGCACAGCCTCAGGGAGGCAGGACGGAGGGGGCCTGGCCGTGCCGCTTCTCACAGGCTCTGGTCTGTGTACTTTCGTACGGGACACACGTGCAGCCTCGGCCTGGTCTCTGCCCTCTGGGGCCTGTGCAGCACCATGCCCTTGCACAGACTGGAACAGGGCCAACCAGCCAGAAGAGCCCTTCTGCCTGCCTACTGGGACAGGGTCGTGGGGGTCAGCACCTCCTTTGGCCAAGGCCATAATGCGGGGAGAGAAGCCCCCACATGGCCCCCATCCCCAGTCAGGTGTGTGGAAGTGCAGAGCACTTGCCTGGGAGACAGGTCTGCGTGCTAAGCCGAGATCGAGCCCCTGGTCTCAACTCTGCTAGGACACCTGCGTGGTCGATGGAGCTCGTGGCCCAGTCAGTACAGTTGTATGGGGTGTCAGGCCAGGGTCTGAGCTAGGTGGTCTCGGAGGTGGAAGGTTTCTAGAAGAGCCCAAATCTCAGAAACACTGGGCACGCTTGTCCAGGACAAAGCAGTGGAACGCAAGGTCCAGTGAGGTGGATGGAGATAGCACCCGCCAGGTCAGAGGGCGCAGGCTCCAAGGTACTAGTTTTTCTCCGATAGATCTGTTCTGGGAAGCCTTTCTGCAGGTGTGGCCAAGGGGCCCTACACCAGAGGACCCGCGGGGGTCTCGGCCCACCCACACCCACTGAATCGAACCCCTGGAGCCTGAGGAGGGAATCTGCTTTTACTTACTTATCTTTAAACACGTTCCTTACATTTCTCACTAAAGTTAGAGAACTGCTACTTTATGACTCTGAAATGTGTATTTAAGTTTTCCCCATAATTACTAAGATTTTTGCTTTTAAACGAGTCTTCTGTATATAAGCAATGTAATGTAAACAAATGAGCTAGGAATGGCAAGAAAACAGCTTTTGCATTTGAAACTAAAATCTATTTCCTTCAAATTGAGTAAGCAGTGGGTTATGGTGGGGGTTTTTAAAAAACAGAAAAACTTGATTTTCCTGTGCTTTGGCTTTGCCTTAGGGATTCATGGGGAAGGGTCCACCTTCAGCACGCTGTATGGCCTCCTCCTGTGGGATATCATCTTCATGGACGGGATACCAGATGTCTTCAGAAACGCCTACCAGGTGCTCAGGTTACGCCGTGCCTGGCGGGTGCTTTTTAGGCAAGCAGATGCTTCTGCACTTTGTGACTCATTCCCACCCTTGTGCGTGTGGGTCTGCGGCCATCAGAAGCCTGCCAATGACGGTCTTGGGGGTGGTGCTGAGTCTCTCTTAGAATAGTCTTTCATTTTACATCCGGATTCATAGATTTTAAAATGTAAATCTGTTAAATTTTCATCTTGAACCTACTTTACCTTCGTTCCACTCAAAACTTGTAGCGTAGGTTTCTTCAGCTTTGACCTTGACCGGTCTCCTGTTGGGCCCGGTGCCCCTGTGTATGCTGGTGCCCGGGCCCGCCGAGGGCACCACCGCTGTAACCTGGGAGCTCTTTCCACCAGTTACGACGCTGACAAACCAGGGCAATGAGTTGCTTTTATGTTAGATTACTTAGATAATTTTTACTTACCTTCTGAGAAGAAGAATGTGTCGATTTAATCAGGTTGGCCAGTTCCCAAATTTTATGGGTATGGAATGTTCTTCTGATGAACCGGTTCTGTCCAGGCACCGAACGAGGCTTGTTTCCCGCGACATAGGCCTTCCCGCTGGACTTGTGCACGGACGGCTTCTGCACCAGCCGGCGGCTGGCCGTGGAGGCCCGGCTGCGGCGGATTCACAGCGCGCCCGCGGAGAGCCTGCGGGCCTGGGTGGCAGCCGCGTGGCAGGCCCAGCAGGGCAGAGTGGCTTCCCTCGTCAGCTGGGATCGCTTTGCTTCTCTTCAGCAAGCTCAGGTGAAACCCTGCGCGGGAGTTGGTCAGAGAGCAACGCCTCCCAGTGCTGGGTCTGCTTTGGCAAGATCTGTATACGTGTGTGTACGTGTGTGCGTGTGCGTGTATATATGTGTATCCACACCTACGTGTGTGCACATGTGTGCATATGCACACGTATTTCTGTATGTGATGGTGCTATGCATACATTTATGTAGATGATAGGCCCCTAGTCCGGATGCCACTGTAACCGGTGGGACCAGGTCAGGGCACAAAATAAGCCCAGGGCTGCCTTCTTCCCCTTAGTTGACAGCTTCCCTTTGCCTGGCCTGTGACCCTCAGCAGGAAGGATGCTGTTCCTGTCCCTGCAACGGCTGCCCTTCATCACTGTCCTTTTCCTGAAGATTCACCCCAAATTCCCTCTTCCTCAGCTGTTCCCCAGGGCTTTGCCGACTAGACAGGAGTCTGACTGAGCGAAGGAAACCTGATTTCCCAGAGCTTGCCGGTGGGCATTTGGCCGGTGGCTCAGTGGCCCTGTGGCCCAAGCAGCAGAATGACCCCTGGTGTCCTTGGAACCCATTTCTGTGGAATTACAGTTTTCTGCGTCTCGTGGCCAGTGAAAGTATTGCAGGATCTCTGTCGTAAGACATGGCTAACCAGCCCTGTGTTTTGGGTTCAGGATCTCGTTTCCTGCTTGGGCGGCCCCATCCTCAGTGGTGTGTGCCGGCGCCTGGCTGTGGACTTCCGACACTGCCGAGGGGGCCTCCCTGACCTGGTGGTGTGGGACTCCCGGAGTCGTCGCTGTAAGGTCAGTTGCGCCACAGTGGAAAGTTTCATTCGCAACTTAATCAGAGGCTCCGATCCAGGCATTTCTTGCATGATTGTCGGCTGTGGGACCGAGGGCCATGGTTCCCCAGTGGCTATTGGCGGGGGCCTCCTCCGCACCCCTGGTGTGGGGGCCTCTCCTTTCCGCCATGCAGCGCGCCACTTGGCGGCTCATTCATCAGGGCAGGCTGGGGAGAAGAGCCAGAGTGTGAGCAAGACGGGAGTCGGGCTCCTATGACCTGATCGCGGAAGGGACGTTCCATCACTTTGGCCGTATTATTCTGTTAGAAGCAAGTCACAGATTCCAGTGCGTGCCCCCCGCCCCCACTCCCCCCTGGCAAGGGATGGGATTCTGCAGGTGTGAACACCAGGAGGCTGAGATGACAGGAAGCCGTTCTCTAAGCTCCCCAGGAGTTAGCTCCTCATCATGTGTTCTCGGCTCAGGGCCACCTTGCCTCACCCTGGTGTTCCCCTGCTGCCCATCCCAGGTTGGTTTTTATTACTGAGTTCTGAGATTAAAAAAATTCTGGATACAAGCCCTGTATCAAATATATTTCATCCCAGGCTGTGGCTTGTCTTTTCATTCTCATAATAGTGTCTTTTGAAGAGCAGAAATTTTTATTTTGGCCAAGTCCCAACTTCTCTGTTCTTTAATGGATCATACTTTTGGGGTCATGGGACATCTCGGACTGGAACTGTGGATTTGTGTGTTTCTCCTTGCAGTTCTATCCAGTTTGCTTCATATATTTTGAAGCTCTGTGATTAGATGTATAAACTTGAAGGCCTGTCACATCCTCTTGATGAGTTGATCTCTTCATCATTGTGAAATGACCCTCCTTTATTTCTGGTAGTGTTCTCCACTCTGAAATCAACTGATATTAATAAATAGCCACTCCAGCTTTCTTTTGATTAGTGCTAACAGGACATATCTTTTTCTCTTACTTTTAACTTATTTCATCTTTAATGGGTTTCTTGTAGGCAGCATTATAGCTGGGTCTGACTTTTTAATTCAGTTTGACAACCTCTTGCCATTTAATTAGGTTTTTGGACCATTTACATTTGATGTGCTTATTGATGACTGGCTTTAAAGCTACCATCTTGATACTTGTTTTCTGTTTGTCTCAGCTCTCTTGTTCTCCTTTTCTCACCTTTTTCTACCTTTTTTTTTTTTAAAGATTGTATTCTAGTCCTTTGTTGACTTGTTAGCTATAATTGTTGTAAGTGGTTGCTCCAGTGTAGATCTTAAGCTTCCTGTCTTTCAAGTGATGTTATGCTATTACATGTATAGTATAAAAAACATGTTTTTATATCTCCTCTCTTGGCCTTTGTACTGTTCATACATCATTTTTCTATATGTTCTAAATTCTACATTTTTTTGCTTTCTACAGTTGATTTAAGAATCTTTATAATTACTCACATAGATAGAAATTAGTTTTCCTCCCCTAGGTACAAAATTTTTTTTTTTTTTTTTCCCAAAGATTGATTGGTTTGAGAGAGAGAGAACACAGGCAGCGGGAGAGGTAGAGGAAGAGGGAGAGGGAGGGAGAGAATCCTCAAGCCTCTGCTGAGCCCGGAGCCCGATGCAGGGCCTGATCCTAGGACCCTGAGATCATGACCTGAGCCGAAATCAAGAGTCGGATGCTCAACTGACTGAGCCATCCAGGTCTCCCCCTAGATAGAAATTCTTACTGCTTGTTATTCCTTTGTAAAGATCCAGATTTCCACGTACTGTAGTCCTCCACGTACTGTAGTCCTCCTGCTTAAAGAATTTAACACTTCTTGAAATGGAGGCCTGCTAGTAATGAATAATTTAGGTTTTCTATGTCTAAGTCTTCATTTCATCTTTGCTTTTGAAAGATATTTTCTCTGAGGAAAAAATTCTATGTTGATAGTTTTTTCCTTTCAGTAATTTGAAATACTGGTCCATTGTCCTCTAGCTTGCATTGTTTTTTAATGATAAATGTGTAGTCTTTCCCTTTAGGCTTTAAAAAATTCTAGCTGCTTTTAGAATATTCCCTTTATCACCAATTATGCAACTTCATTATGTTTCTTTGTATAGTGTTATGTTTCTGTGCCTGGGGTTCATTGATCTTTGGGTTTGTAGTTTCTATCAAATTTGGAAAATCTGGATAGTTTTTATTGCCATTTTGAAGTTCAGTAATCTGCAGTGAATAAAACTGACACAGTTCCTGCCTTCATGGAGCTGGTATGTAATGAACAGTTTTGTCTTCTGATAAATGCCGTGGAGGAAGTGCATAGAAGGACCCTGCTTTGAGATGTGCTGGACATCTAGGAGGGGGATTTAAGCTGAGCATTGAAAGTAAGAAGTCAGACATGTGAAGAACAGGAAGAAGTGTCCTGGGCAGAGGGAACAGCAAGCGTATGGAAGGGCCCTTCGGTTGGGAAGAGGTTGGTCTTTCTCAGGAACTTTGGAGTGGTTGGCAGGGTCCAGATGATAGTTTTGTAAGTCATGACAAAAGTTTGGATTTAACTGCAAATATAACAAAGTAAGCTCTGTGATTAGAAAGTAAATAATTTCTAAGCAGGGGAGCAATAATCTAGTGTATGCTTTAAAACTATTTGTCAACTGTCTATTCAGAAACAATGTAGTAATTCTCTGAAGAACTGCCTACTTTCTACAGAATAATTCTCAAGTGAACTTCATACATGTATCTTTGTTTTATATATGTAAGTAGAGCAGTGTCAGTGAAAACTACTATAGCATACTTGGCTATTCTGTTTCAGTAAGATACTAAATAACTTGTTGTTGTTGTTTTTTAAAGATTTATTATTATTTGAGAGAGAGAGAATGAGAGAGAGGGAGTACATGAGAGGGGGGAGGGTCAGAGGGAGAAGCAGGCTCCTCGCCGAGCAGGGAGCCCGAGGCGGAACTCGATCCCGGGACTCCAGGATCGTGACCTGAGCCGAAGGCAGTCGCTTAACCAACTGAGCCACCCAGGCGCCCACTAAATAACTTTTTTAAAACTTACATTCCAGCTGGTGGAAGTTAAAGGCCCCAGTGATCGTCTTTCACATAAGCAAATGCTCTGGTTGGATGAACTGCAGAAGTTGGGGGCCGACGTAGAAGTCTGCCACGTGGTTGCTGTTGGAGCTAAGAGCAAAAGCCTCACCTAAGAGCTGTCGAGTTGGGGGAGTCTGGTGACACATGGATTGATTTTCAAAAGCATAAAGCATCATTACATTTTATTTAACTTTGTTATGTCAGTAATAAACCTGAGAGTTTACGACTCATCATTGTCCAGTGTCTGTGTGTCATAAAACTTGGTCTTGGCTTGAATGTACTCATTGATTCCACATAGCAGGTAATGAACTTTCTAGAAGCTTATAACCTTGGTGGCCATTTTAGGAAAGGGATGCATCTATGTTACTAAGCTACACTTGCAAAACAGCTGGAAAAAATCCAAACAAATGGGATGTTTCATAGCTTTTGGTCTTTTATAAAAGTAGCATACCCAATGTCTCTAGTTTAGTATACTGGAGAGACCTGTATTTAAGGTTTTCTATACTGCCCGGATATACGCAGCTGTTAAACATTCTTGTTTTATGATTATCTAAGAAGGGCACAAACAGATGAAATTCTTTCTCTGGGAATTAAAAATAAATTCTCATTAAATTCCTTACCTTTTAACTTGCTCTTACTAATTGGGCCTAGATCATCAAAGGAATGAACAGTCTTTATCAAAGGCAACTGTCCCTCCCTCATGACTAGAGGGGCAATTTTCTGTATACACGGTGTCACTGCAACAGGGCTGTTCGTAAGAGCCCTAGGCTGAGGAAGGTATACGGTAGGAAGGCAACTAACCAGAACTATAGGACCAGGAGTCCGGGATGGGGACCCCAGTCCCCACAGACTGGTTCGGAGACCTTCTTAGGGAAATGTTACTCCCCAGCTTGGTGATTTACTGAACGGAAGGACAGGTTAGGGCATGGTCCATTAATACCCACGTGGCCTTAACTACAGCCAGTTCTGAATCGATGTTAAAAATGTTACCTATCACTGTCTTGCTTTAGAGCAGGCAAAAAAACCTGAGTGGATGACACCCACACAAGTAGAGTTGGAAGAAGACGCCTTCGCTTCTTGAATCACGACGTTCTTGTAGATGATCTCATATTGATAACAACTACAACCACCAAGTTCTGTGGGAATTTTATTTAGCAGTCAAAATTTCCTTCACAGTCATCACTGTTGAGCAGGCTCTCTCATCTTCCTGCTCATCCTACTTTAACTGAAGTCCATCAATTTTAGGCACAAAGGTTTTTAGTTTTCTCTCAAAATCAAGTTCTAACTACTTGAGGTTACGGCTACGGCAAGCAGGTTTCGTTGAAGGTATGCTGGCTGATTTTCCCCGTTAGCACAAATTAATACACTTTTCTTAAATAAAGTTAAGACATTTTTGGTTTTAGAACCGGTCTCCATCATAAAATAACAGTAAGACATTGTACATCTTTCACCAGTACTAGGAGTCCCAAGCGGTCGGGCCCGTGCGGCACGAACCTGGCTCGCAGGGCAGCGGGGCCGGAGCCAGAGCGGGAGGCGCCCTCCGGTGTGGCTTCGGCTCCTGCACGCGCCTGCGCCGGGCCCACCGCCGGCCCCCCTCCCCCGCCCCCCCCCCCCCCGCCCCGGGCCAGCAGAGGTGCCGGCAGCCTCACGACGGCTACGACTTGACGTCGTTACAGCTGTACATCATGTTGTGCGCGGTAACCTGCGGCACGGTAATCATGATACAACTGTCCAGCGAAAATAAAACGAAAAACCGTATTTTACTACGTTTATCATACAAAAATATGCACATTTTCTATTTTAAAACAGTATTGATAGTACCTAATCTCCTTTAAGCTTGTAAATTAACAAAAAAATTGCTCAAGGAGTTGAGATAAATGTGTGAGGAAAGATAAGTATAAAGATACAAATGCTCAACAATCCATCTCCAAAACCCCCCTAGTTTAGAATAATTTGTAATAATAAAAAGGCAGCTTAATCAAAAAGGGAGAATTATGACACTTTCTGTGGCAGGATACGCTGTGGGATTTTAAGGCGCCTGGGACTGGTTTCCAATCAGGGACTATAAAACGTTTAGTAGTAACAGTGCTACTGAGAAAAGCCCCGACTTTCCAGGCCTAGGTTGGCAAAAACATTGGGCTTATCCACAGATGAATTTCCGAAGACATTCTATGAAAACTTCTGTCCTCAAAGTCCAGAGACATCAATCTTAAAAAGGCGAATAATTCAAACAGAAACCGCTATTCATTACACGTGACAGTAAGACACTGCTCTGAAAAAACTTGTTTTAGAAAATATTAACCACTTCACTGCAAAACTTCTGTAAAGCTTAAGACGGCATTTAATGAAGAAACTCTAAGTAACAGCCCAATTTGAAAACATCCACCTGTCAACAGGGCCTGGGGGTGCGCATCGGAGGGAGGGGTGAAGGCCACCGCCCTAAGGAGCCCGCAGCGCTCGCTTGCGTCCGGTCCCACGGGGTGACCCCCACACACCTGCGTGCACGCTTCTCCCTCTCCGCACGGCTGGCAGAGGCCGGGGGGCGGGGGGTTCTCTCCACACGGAAATGGCGGTCTTTTGAGAGAAGTGCCCTGTCATTTGCCCTGTTGGCTCTACGGCGCCGCCAGGCACTTCGTCGGGGGGAGGAGGGCCTTCCGCACAGACGAGCGGACTCACGGCCACCTTAGTGATCGCCAAGGGCAAGTGTCCGCGACCCCCTACCACCCTGGGCCTAGACGGCGACGCCCCAAACGCCCGGGAGCAAGCGGGCTCTTTCTGCGGGAGGGTTTTGGCGGACAGCACTCTCCCTGGCCGCGGTCCCACCAACGCGCACCTGCCCCCCCACGGCCGCTTGTCCTCGCTGACTCTCAGAGGGAAGGCAATGTGCTCTGGGGGACTCCTGGCTACCGGCAGGAAGCTCCGAGGCGAAAAGCCTGTTTCCAATACGCAGGCTTTTAACACCCTTATTTTAAAAACTGCAACTGTGGTTTACTTTGTGTTAATGCGTACCTTAATTAATATTAATGTCAAAGGCACTTCTAAGTTGGTATTACCTACAGCAAATGCTTTCGAAGTCAACCGTGCATATTAGTCCTATGAAGGTGAAAGCAAACTCAGGATTTTAAAACACAGTGATCTACGGTCCCAAACAAGGTGATCTACAATAAATTATGGCCTTGGAAATACTGAGCCCTCCGGTGATCGCAGAGAATGGACAGTGACCGGAAAAATCTATGAATACCTCCTAATGCCTGTGGGGGGAGCTTACCGGATGCATCTTGAAAACCTACTACACACTAATTTCCTAACTTTCCTGTTAACTGGTTTGCTCACAGTAGTAAGAGTGGGGGAAGGTCTGCCTCCAGATCACCTACAACTGGCCAGACCTGCAATGGCAAAAAGAGGCCATCAAAAAGAGAAGTTCTGCCTGTTTCTAAAAAAAAAAATTACGAAGGAAGCCTAATTCAACAGGTTTCCAAATATTAGTGCAAATTTCCACTGTTATTCTGACATAGAAAATTCTTAGAGCCTCAAATGCCTAGGTTAGCAATTTTAATTCAGAGGAGAAGTCTGTGGCTTCCCTCCCAACGTTCAGCAAATCGGACCCTTCAGTCTTCGTTTACTAGTGTCTCAGTAGATAACCATATTTTGGCCCCACTTAAAAATTTGCTTAGTGGCGTTCCTGAAATGCTTCGCCTGCACAGGTTGCCTACGGGGGAGAAGGGAAAGGAGGAGGAGAGGAAGTCCGGCGTCCCCGGGGCGTCGTGCGGGCCGCCGGCCCGGAAGTACATCCTGCTCTTGTCCAGCCCCGGAGGGCAGGCTTGCGGGGGGCCGGCCCGGGGCTGCCGCAGCGTCCTGCTGAGCGCGTCCACCTCGTCGGCCAGCACGGAGAGCTTGTGAAAGGCAGTGATGAAGCCGCCCAGCTTGATCTGCGCCTCCGGCAGCCAGCGGAAGTAGCAGAGTTTCCAGAGCTTCACGCGCGGCCCGGACACGTGCGGCAGAAGGACGCCGTGCAGGTCGGCCGGTCGGGAGCACCACTCGGTGAAGTAGCGCTCCAGCCCGCTCTGCCGGCCGTCGGGGGGCTGAGGGCGCTCGGGCTTTGCCGGTAGGATTAACGAATTTCTCCTGGGGACTAAGTCTGGGTCGCCGAGGACGCCGTTCTTGAAGGCAGCGGGCATTCCTCTCAGCGTGGAGCTGTAGCTTTTCTGGGGGGAGAGAGAGTTCAGCATTACCTCTCCGGGGCGCCCCGTTCTGGGAAGGCAGTAAAGGGAAGCCTGGCGCTACGAAAAACGCAACTCTTTGTCCCTTCCCTTGCGACGCTCCTCCCAGTCCTCGTCCCCTGCGGTTCCAGCCTCTAGGACCGGACTCCGGCTGTTAGCTCTCGCCTGCGTCGGGTGCGGACCGGATCCCTACTGTTCAGTGATTCGCTTAAGTGCAAATTTCTAAGACTTCTCGGTTAGGAAAAAATGTACATCTGGCTCCTCCTAGAAAGAGCAGGCGAGGGGATAGGGTTTCGGGAATGGGGCCTCCCAGGCTCCGAGCTCCTATCGGCCAAATCCTAGAGGCTGAGCGAGCTCTGCGGGCCTCAGGCACCAAGAAGAAAAGGCAGGGCAGGGTCATTTCCGTTACAAAGCGAATGATCCCTCAAAATCTGCACCGGCAGCGCTGTCAAGGGAAGTGACCTGGCTCCTAATACTCGGTGTTCTGAAAACACGCCTCGTGTGCGGTGTGAGCAGATACCAGGTTTTCAGCGTCAGTGCGTTTGTGTACTTTACCTTTGTCCGTTTGAAAGATTTCACAGAACCGTTTTGGACGCAGGGCGTGCTCTTCCCGATGTACAAGGGGTTATGGAAAAGGGTGCGGTCCTTCGCTGTGAACTGGAGAGACCAGTCCCAAACCGAGGGGAATTTCAGACCCTTTTCATCACCCAACTGGATATTCTTGCTGATAGCAAATTCCTGCAAAACAAAATATTTGAACATCTGTGAAAAGATACCAAATGAAAAGAGTTTAAGTACATTCCTTTTTTGGGACGAGCCATTCATCACTATTTAAGTTGCATTTTCTGGACTGCAGCAACTCTAGCCCCCGAGAGCAGCATGTTTTGCTTTGAGAGAAGAGACATTCTCGGCACCACGATCAGAAAGACACCCCGCACGCTGTGTGAGCGAGGACAGGGCGTTTTCTTCTGGAAGCCACCAAGGAAGCTGGGCCCTCCGAGCAACGAGTACGTCATTACAACGCAGTTACTTCTATACTTGGCGCATTTTACTTTCTGAGCACATGATCGATCGCACACTTATGCATTTACCCGCGGGGCATAAAACATGGTGAACGGACATGCAGGACAATCTGCGGATGGCAATCACTGCCGTCCATTTTACCCCGTTTTTCCAAGTGGACAGCCACCCTTCACTTACCCAGTGACCTTCGGTATCTGAACCACAGCCCAGGGGCACAGAGGAGGGAATCCGCCCCCCACCGTGCACAGTCCCGGCGTCTGGCCAAGCCCACGAAGACCACGCTCGGGGGCCGGGCCCCCTGCTCCCCGGAGTCCCCCTCCAGCCCGCTCTGGGCTCAGGCAGCCCGGTGAGCCAGCGGCACAACGCTGCGGGGTGACAGCCCACCGCTTCCGCGGGGAGGAGGTGAGGAGCATCTCAAACCATGACTCTCATCTCGGCAAGTGACACAAGCAGGTGTATGCAGATTATTAGCTCTCCGGAGGAAATCTCTCAAGATACCGACTTTGTGGATGGTGGGAGATGATGGGTTCTTATTTCCTGCTTTGTACCTTTCAGTATTCTCCAAAAAAACAAGAATTTCTTTGGAAATTAGAAAAAAAGGCAAAGACTGTCATCAGAAAAGCAGCGCTGCAGTGAGGTGGCCGGCTCCCCGCCACAGGCTGGGGACCAGCAGGGAACAGGGAAGCTAGCCAACAGCACAGGGCAGTTTACAACACTGTCTACTCCAAATGAGTAAAACTGAACTCATTAAGCACGAAATATATTAAAAAAAATTTTTTTTAGTTATTTGAGATTTCATCATATATGTGCATGTAGAAACCACCCATTTGGGACGCCTGGGTGGCTCAGTCGTTAAGCGTCTGCCTTCAGCTCAGGTCATGATCACAGGTCCTGGGATCGAGTCCCACATCGGGGCTCCTTGTTCAGCAGGGAGCCTGCTTCTCCCTCTGCCTGCCGCTCCCCCTGCTTGTGCTCTCTCTCTCTCTCTCTGACAAATAAATAAAAATCTTAAAAAAAAAAAGAAACCACCCATTTGCTTAAAAAAAAAAAAGTATTGTTAAGAGCTGAAATCTAGTAAAACAAAACCCCCAAACTATTTTAATGGCCCTTAGGAAAATATATAGAAATCAGTTACCTTTTTGTTTTGTTTTTAAATGTGAAAACTAAAAATATCTCCAAGGAAGAAATCAGATTTTCCACGAACAGTACCTGACCATGAGTATCTAAGGTGGCCTCAGAATGGAGGAAAGAAGGAAACGTCTTTGTGGCAGGGACTAAGAACAGTGGTCATGCTAAAAATCAGGACAGTTTCTCAGGGAGGGCAGGGGAGGCACCGACGGCCTCCAGTCTGGCTGTTACACCAAATCATGAATAGGAAGTGCCGAGGGAGGGAGGCATCCAATGTTAGTATTTGCCAGAAAAAGCTTTTGAAAAAAGCCAAGTTAAAAAAATACAGCACTGGAACACAGACCAGGAAAAACAGATGATACACTTTAAAAAAATATTTGTTAACTTTTATCCCTGTAGAGAAATCTATTTGTAAACATACGTCGGCACATCCAGAATCCAGCCAAGAAGCAGGGTGAGGAGTGAGTGTCTCCAGGAGGCCAACCTGGGCTCCACAGAGACCCGCACCCCGCAGCGCCCACCCAAGGCACTGCGGTCACTGGGACCGCCAGGCTGATGGACTGGCATTTTACATCTAAGGTTTTATGTCCAACAAGGCTGTTTGATTTCCTAGCCTCGTGTACATTCTGAAGGCTCAAATGGTGTGTGTGTGTGTGTGCATGTGTGTGTGTGTGCATGTGTGTGCGTGCGCACGCATCCCTGGGTGCAAGCACGGGTGTGCTCGAGGGGCACCGCAGGGAGAGGAGGCGAGCACCGCCATGCGCAGTACTGCCCACAGCACAGCAAGGGGCCCAACACTGAGGCGGCTCAGTGGACAAGAAATGAAAAGGAGCAACCCGCAGACCACTTAGTTTAGGAACAAAGTTTCCCACACTTCAGGAGCCAAGCCCACTGCTGGTCTCAGCACGGGACTGGGATAGGTTACGTTCTTCTAGGGAAGCAGAGAATATATTTTATGAAAATCTCCTTCCCGAACTCTCCAACCTAAAATAAATACCCTATGACAGTGTTGAGTTTCTCCGACCCTGAGCCCCTGGAGAGCACGGCTGAGACACGGCTCACCTACTCTGAGGTTGGACCTGCTCCCTCATGTCTCCTGTCTCCTGCCTTCATAACAAGCCCCCAGGTCCCCTCCTTTACTTTGGGATGTTCCTCACTAATAAGGTTCCTCCTATTGCAACAGCCTGAATGAAATCACCTCCTTAAATGTCCAGTGCACTTTGTCTTTCATATCCACATCTAGAACGATTCATTTCTTTAGGAAATAGTGTAGCATAATGCTTCACAGTTTACAAAATGTCTTCAATTCACAGACTGAGGCCAAAGGTAATACTGTTAAGTTTGGTGGATCCATTTTTACAGCTGAGGAACCTGGGCTCACCATTCTCCCAGACCTTGGGCGGGACTCAGGTTAATCCAGGTCACATCGCCTGGACGAGGGCCTTACCGCCAAGGCTGAGGACCCCGCAGCTCCCTGTGAAGGCAACCCCCTTCTTAGAAAGTCTTTCTAGAGGCCCACAAGAGCTGCCCTTTCTGTTTCTCTCAATGGTTATCGCAGCGTTTACCAGCTATTCCCATTGTTGGTTCAAATGTGGGTGAGCCAGAACCTGTAGTTCCAGAAGGTTCTACCAGTGGCAATTGGAAGTTATTCTCAAGTTTGGCTTTAGACCCTCCTTAGCCATGATTCTTCCTCTAGGTCAATGAAATGTGACTAGAAACTGATAATCCTACCCCAAAGGGACGCTGTATGGCAGGTGGGACAGATTCTGAGATTACTGGGTAAGCCAGCACCCACTGAGAATCCGTCTAGCACCACGGCTACCCTTCATCTCTGACAGTCCTTCTCCACAGAACTCTTAAAGAAAATAATCCTGCTTTGTACAGCTTTTATTCTAGGAAATAAAAGTCCTCTAACAGGACCTTTTCAATTATCCACCCAGACAGCCCAAATGTGAAAACATAAATATAAAAGCACAACATTTACGGTGGTTAAAATAATTTACATCTTTAAAAACTGGTTATTATTTTTTTAATTGTTACATATCACATTTTCTTTTTCTTTCTTTCTCTCTCTCTTTTTTAAGTAGGCTCCACATCCAACAAGGGGCTTGAACTCCTGACCCTGAGATTAAGAGCTGCATGCTCTACCGACTTAGCCAGCCCAGCGCCCCTAAAAACTGGTTTATTATGAACAATGTACATCAGAGAAAAATACCTGAAGTGCTCACTCATAAAAATGAAACAGGTTCCTAGATTTTTTATGTCTTTAAATAATTCATTCAGAAACTGCAGCTTAAAATGGTAGCTACGACAGTTTTAATTTACATAGTTTAAATATGCAGCTGAGTGTACTTTAATTCTACCTCAATAAAGCTGGGTAAGACAAACAGAGAAGTTGCTATCGCCACAACCTCGCTTACCGTGCTTTGTTTCACCCGCTGGTGAGGAGAGTTGAAGAGGAAGGTGCCGAAGAGGGAGATACGGGTGCTGTCGTATAGCACTGCTAAGTACGTCTCCGAGAACTCGAAGGCCGCCGGGTACTGTTCCAGGAGCTGCCATGTGGCATCCAAGAACAGCAGAAATAAGGGACACTGGCAGACAGAGACAGAAAGTGGGAACATTTAATGCTGTCCTTCGGTTCCCATTTATTTCCAAATTTATGGCTCATGTTAAGGAAGAGATTACTAAGAAAATATCTCAGCTAAAACACTTGGCTCCTAACCTGAGCCAAGGATATGCAGACAGATTAAACACGGCTTATGTCAAAGCTCAGAAGTAGGTTCAACGGCCATGAACATCACAGCCCTTGCTTGCCAAAGAAGCCTATCAAGTTGAAATGGCAAAGTCAACAGGCAGGTGTCACTGTATGAATGGGGGACACTAAAAGATGTGATTAAGTCTGTCCTGGAAATAATTCTTTAGAACACAGAAAAAAAGAAACAATAATCCCAAAGCAAGAAACGACTTCTGTAATTCACTTCTGGTGGACCTGGTGCAGGCTCAGCAACCAGAAAACTCCCCAGAGTTTCAGGAAGCGGTTGGCATTAGCCTCTAGGTCACACGGTGGACCCCCAAGTACAGCAGCTGATGATCAATGACTGTATCTGGGAGTCCCAGCAATTTAAAAGTGAAGTAGTCACTGCTGAGATTTCCTCAGATGGTGCGGCTTGTTGTTAAACACGAGACCCTACGGAGACCCTATGAGTCAGACTGTGCTCTCTGAAACAAGCATGTCCGGGAGAGGCTTGTTCACAGCTTTCTCACCTCTGCACCCACGGTGGCCACTACGCCCACAGCTGTTACAAAGATGTCCCTCGCCAACTTTCCATTCTCCACACATATGCCCCATTTTAAGAAAATGTGATATTCCAAATCTGATTTTTCAAAATACCTAATGTGCTCGTTATCTGCTTTGCAGAAGAGATAATACAGATTTTTTAAGTAGTTTTCAACTTGGAGAAATGCAACAATTTTTTTTGAATTTTACCTATATAGTTACAGTCATCTTCGTAAGTGCATCAATTTGGAACCCAACGTTAGACTAAGAAGCTAAGGGGTACCAAATGTAGTATTTAAAAAGGCTCCTCGTCTCTTTACAGACAGAACACCTCTTCACACGATGACATGAGTTTTATCTTGTGCACACTTAAAGACTCCCTCCCAATGAGCATTACGATTCCGTTACCTCTTTCTCGGATCTCTTTAAGTGGTTGCATCTGTCTAGGAACTGATATCCGGCCATGACCCACTCCTTCTGGATCAGACTCTGAAATCCTGTAATTGTCCTAAAATGGGGATCCAGCATCACTTGAACAAGAGAAGCTACAATACAGCTCAAGTCTCTTCCCTCCTCCTCTGTCAAGAAAATGGAAAGAAAATGACTACTACATAGAAAAATGCTGAGAGAAAGGGTAAAGTGGATAATACAGTACTCTGTGCTTAGGCTCCTTCAAAATAATCCAAGTTAGGAAAGTTCACTGGATTCCAGCAACTCTAAAACACTACAGACTTTCAGATCAATTAGTGTTTAATGGGAGATAGTCTTTTATACATGAGTATTTTCCAGAAACTAGAGCACAGCCCTCACACTTTTTACATTTCAGTGGCTTGTGGTGGAACTCTTTCATGAGTCCATTCTACTTCTGTTTCCTAAGAATATTAAATATAATGTAATCTTTCTACTGGCAACTCCACATGGTGACTCCGAAGTGAATGAGGGGGATGGGACTGCCCACCATCATCTGAAACGGTGGCAAACATTTTCCTCCCATCTTTTATAGCTGGTGTCCTTTTCAATGATGCCAGTAAATATCCTGATATCAAAGCCAGCCAAAGAAATCAGAAAAAAACTGTCCACCAGTATCCCTTGTAATTAGATTATAAAATCATCAACAAAATATGAGCAAATCAAATTATCTCATGAACACAAGAATTTATTCCAGGAATGCAAGGTTGGTTTAACATCTATCTAACAATCAAAGTAGTACTTCATATAAATAAAATAAATGATAGAAATAACATAATCATCTCATCAGATGCATAAAAATCATCTATGTGATATTCCAAGTTCATTCTGGATGAAAACTCTGAGCAAACTAGGAATATAGAAGGGTACTTCAACCTGGTAAGAGGAATCTATGAAAACCCACAACCAACATCATTCTTTAAGGATGGTAACTCCTAGAACTGAGCAATGCCACTTCTAAGCACCTCCCCACAAGAAACACGTATGTTCCCCATGAAGACTTTTACATGAATGTTCACAGCAGAATTCGTAATAGCCACAACATGGAAACAACCCCATGTCTATCAATAACTAAATGTATAAATAAAATGTGGTATTGACACAAACGACTACTACTCAGAAATAAAAAGAAACAAGCTGCTGATACATGCTACATGAATGAACCTCAAAAACATGTATGTTAAATGAAAGAAGCAAGAAGCAACAGATCACATACTGTATGAGTCTGTTTATATGAGACATCCAGAAAGAGCAAATCTACAGAGACAGAAAGCAGATTAGTGGCTGTCTGGGGCTGGGACACAAGGAATCTTTTTTTTTTTTTTTTTTTTTCAGATTTTTTTATTTATTTGCGAGAGAGAGAATGAGCGACAGAGAGCATGAGAGGGAAGAGGGTCAGAGGGAGAAGCAGACTCCCTGCTGAGCAGGGAGCCCGATGTGGGACTCAATCCCGGGACTCCAGGATCATGACCTGAGCCGAAGGCAGTCGCTTAACCAACTGAGCCACCCAGGCGCCCACAAGGAATCTTTTTGGTGTGATAAAAAATTTCTAGAACTGGACTCTGAACTCTACATGTACTCTGTATATTTACTAAAAATTATTGATTCCCACACTCAGAATGGGTGAATTTTACAATATGTGAATTATACCTCAATAAGCTATTTCAAAAACAGGTTCTAAAAGAAAGTGTTAGTAAAATGCAGCCTCAGGATCTCTTCTAAGCCTTATGTATTATAACAAATGCTTCAAGACATGTGCAAAGTAGGATTCTGCAATAGGATGAGAACACCCACTGGCTGAGAGGAGAGATTACTGGGTTGCTGGGCTCTGCATGCATTTGTGAATTAAATAACACTGATTGCATCGGTTAAGGATTACTTGAAATAGTGCATCACTATTCTTTTCTCCCCCTAAGGGTTTTAAATATCCTTTACTTTGCTCAAGTCAGTTAAATTTGACAGTTGGTAAAAATACTTCTGTAAGCTTCAGTAGCGTAGCATATTCATAAACTATGCAATGTGAATATATCATAAAATAAGGTAGTTCATGGTTTATGAAACTTTATTATCAGTAAGCTTAGAAATTCTCTTAGCTGTAAAGTTATTTCACATATAATTATCCTTTACTTAACTGAAATATTTTTATATTGCACGATTCACTCCTCCCTAAACATCAGACAAAATTCACATTAGCTATTCAACTCAATTTTTTGATACCAAACTATTTCTTTAGAGTCCAATCCAGTGTGATCCAAAGGCATATGAACTAAAATTTGTATGAATTTGAAACGTAGCAAGGTTAGAGAGAAAGGACGCTCTGCCAAGATTAACACTTTGTACGACTCCAGCAGAGCTGTGACCCGCCCTTCTCACACTACAGGATGGAAGGTTTAACACAGGGCAGAAAACTGGACTCCGTTCTAGTCTCCTGCCTGCAGCCGTTAGCAGGGCTGTCCTCAACGGAGGTGCGGACGCTGTACTGTGTCTGGTGGCACCGTCGTCAGTAAGAGACGGCCAGGAGTCGTGTGACTGCCTGGAATGCGACAGTCACCAAGCTGCCTGGCGTGGCGACCAGTGTTTTCAGTAACGAATTACCTTGTAGGATGACGGAGAGGTGTCGGCTTTCTAGAACGTACACGAGCTCTGCTGAATGTTTAAGGAATGCCCTGAAAAGAGAAAGGGAAGAATACTATTAAAAAAATCAGATTTCCACTATAAATATTCCTTTCGAAGTACTTGAAATCAAACACACCTAATCTTTCTCTATACTGTATTCTCAATAACCTTTATGAATTTCATCAGTGTTTATGTGATTCTTCAACAGAGTACATTTTGATTTTTACATCAGGGAAGTTCATGAACCCTTTTATCAAAAGGGGGGGTGATTTACATGACATTCTTGAAATCATAATCACAAAACACAGAGATGGAGCAGAGATCAGTGGTTGCCAAGCGGTGGGGGTGGCGATGCGACTCTGAAGGGGCAGCACGGAGGGCCCTGTGGTGACGGAGCAGTTCTCCATCGTGACTGCCGTGGTGCCTGCATGACCTGTGTGCGCAATAAAGATGCACGGAACGCCACACACACACACACACACACACACACACACACACACACGGAAACACGTACAAATGCGTGAAATCTGAGTAAGGTCTATATATTGTTATGACTTGGGTTTTGTTTTGTTGTTTAAGATTTTTTATTTTTTAAAAGATTTTATTTATTTGAGAGAGAGAGAGAATGAGAGAGAGCAAGCACATGAGAGGGGGGAGGGTCAGAGGGAGAAGCAGACTCCCCGCCGAGCAGGGAGCCCGATGCGGGACTCGATCCAGGGACTCCAGGATCATGACCTGAGCCGAAGGCAGTCGCTTAACCAACTGAGCCACCCAGGCGCCCAAGATTTTTTTTTTTTAAAGATTTTATTTGTTTGACAGAGAGACACAGCGAGAGCAGGAACACAAGCAGGGGGAGTGGGAGAGGGAGAAGCAGACTCCCTGCTGAGCAGGGAGCCCGATGCGGGGCTCGATCCCAGGACCCTGGGATCATGACCTGAGCCGAAGGCAGACGCTTAACCGACTGAGCCACCCAGGCGCCCCTGTCCCCCTTGGTTTTGATAGCATATTCTAGTTATGGAAGATGTTACCATTGGGAGAAGGTGGTGAGGAGTACATGGAGGGCTGTACTGTTTTTGTACCTCCTGGGAGTCTGTCATTATTTCAAAATAAAAGTTAAGGGGAAAAAAAAGGAAAGTAGTTGTACAAACCTTACATATTCTAACCACCGAGTATTTTCCAGTGAAGACAACCATTTTTCTTCAGTTTCTTCAAAAGGCTCTGCAATAAATATGCCAATTATATATACATACACACATACATATAACGTATGTATACACACGTTTAGGCTTTTTAAACAATTTGATGTGGTCACGTTTTAAGCGATACATGTCACAGATTTTCCATATTTAAAAGCTGGCTTTAAGAAAGTATTATGCATTTTCATTTAACAATATAAACATGAAGAGACATGTTATGATTCTATAAAAAACAAAACAAGGATTCCCCTGGGCCTTGGTTTCCTTCACTCTGGCTCTCAGGGAAATCCTCCTAAGAGCCAGTGGTTCCCGCTTTCCTGATGAGCCCATGCCTGGATTCTGGAGCCCCCACTCACAGCTTCCTGCCTGCAAGCCCTGCCCTCCCTGCTTCTCTCCCCCTCCCCTGCTGCCCGCACTGCCTCCCGCGCATGGTTTCCGTGACCACGGCAGGAATGAGGGCACCTTCCTGGCAGGGCCTGCATGCCCTCCCCAGTCCTGCCTGGCCTGTCTCAAGGTGTCTCTCACCTCACGAACTCCAGGCTCTACTCACATTCCACTTATCAGACGGCTGATAATCATTCATGTCACTGTACTTTTTTAACAACCCCCCGCCAGCTCTCCTTCCAGGCCAGTGCCCCCTCGTTGTTGCAGACCCGCCCCAGTGACCGCCTTTCCTGGCTCCTGGGTAACGGGAGGCTCTGGGTGCCCTTCAGGGAGGACTCACTTCTCGCCAAAGATGCTTTTGTGTGAGTCACACCCACCCCGGGACACACTGAAAGCACCTGAGAAGCACCTGCTCAAACACATGATTAGAACTCCAAGGCCGCACAGATTACAACACGGCTGTCTGAAATCCGTGTCAAGTCCCGTATCTCAAAACGCAACTGTCTGCATTAAAATCTTAATATGTTTGTCCGTAAGGTAGCTCGTCGTTCTCTTGGCACTTTTAAAAAAGGATCCTACCACAACAGTTCACGCTTTGAAAGCGATTTCATTGGTTTCTTTCTTTCCTCCAAAACAAAAAGCAGTTTAAACTTCATTTTCTGAGAGCTTCTGATATTGTCACATACAATAATTTGTACAGATATTTCAATGAGCCTCTACCTAAATATATCTATTTCTATATTTTCAAGGAATGTCACTTTTTCTGACATATCTCATGCAATGCTGTATCCCCAGTTCACTATATACATACATACATACATACACACACACACACACAAATAAAAATGAAATTACCATTAACGCATAGTTGCTTAAGTTTCACAAAAGCCGCCTGTATTTCGTGGATATTGGGCAAGGTCTTATCCAAATCTGATTTGTAAACATCACTTCTCTGTGGATGACTTTTAGTAATTGCATTACAAATCCTAGTAAAGACAAAATCCTTGAGTCATTCATTCATGCCACACATATTTTTTGAAGATTTATTATGGGCTAAGGCACTACTCTAAGAGCTGGAGACAGATGAACAAGACCGGTGGGGCCTCTGCTCTCACGGGGCTTCCGAGCCTGGTGGTGGTGGGAGGGTAGATGAGAAAGTCACAGGCTGGCGTGAATGCCATGGTGGCGCCACCGAGTGGAAGCAGGCTAGTTCAAGTCACGTGGCTGGGAAGGCTTTTCTGTGAAAACAACACTGAAGCCAAAACCCAAATGCCTAGGAGCCATGCAAGATCTGTGGGTAAGTGTTCTAAACGCAGAGGGACAGTAAGGGCAAAAGTCCTGTGGTGGACCCAAGCTTGGCTGTGCAGAAACCTAGAGAAGGCCAGTGGAGCTGAGCTGATGTGTCTAAGGAGAAAGGGCTGGAGAGAGCTTGGACAGCGCAGAGAACGTGTCTTACTTATGAAGGGTGGCACAGCTGGAAAAACAAAGGAATTAAAACAATTCGCACTTAATAAAGTTAAAAGACGAAACGTGCACTGGCTGTGAGGGTCCAGAATGAACTCTGGCCCAGCAGCGCCCCCGACACAACAGACAGGTCAGTTTCAACAGGACCAAGGTAAAAACTCCGTCAGAGATGACGTGAAGCCAGTCACCGTCCCTTCCAGAAACCTGAAGGCTCGTTTGCGGGTCACTTGCCAGCTATTTGCTTCAGCAAACATGGCTTTCTTAGGTATGGCAGTGTGGAAAACACCCTAAGACCTGGCTCTACTCATAACAGGGTGTGATACACAATTTGAGGCTCTCTGAGCCAGTTTTCTAAGATCTGTTCCTTTGCTCCTCGTTTATAGAGTACTGAACAAGTATGCTGATATGGCAGGTATTTCCTGAGTGCTGAATGAACAATGGCTGGGAGAAGGCGTGGTGCCTGTATGCTAGAGTCTGAGTTTGAACATCATGAGTTTCAAGGGCCTTTGAGACTTCCACGGAAGATGTCCCATTAGAGAGATAAATTTGATGGTCACTGAAGCCACAGCCACAGATGGGCTTCTGTAGGAAGGAAATACAGACTGGGAAGCAGTGGCCTCAGACAGATTCTAGGTCATGTTTGCAGAGCCAGGGCTGCAGAGGGCACAGAGCGCCGGTGAGGAAGAGGGGCTGCAGGAGAGTGGGAAGGAGCAGGCGCCTAGGACTCAGAGCGCTTTAGGGACAGACAGACCAGCAGTGATGCCCACCGACTGCCCAATGCCTATTGCTTTAATGACACGGAGATCACTGGTGACTTCAGCAGGCGACGCCAAACTTGTTTGTGGTAGCTAATTAAAACCACCATCTAAGCTACTGTGACTCTAAGACCTAAGACACACTGAACTAATAGAAAAGTCTGATTTATCCTGAAATATCTCAACTGGAAATCACTGCACTTTGGAAGTATGCTAAAGGCGACACTGTTATAACAAGATGTCAGCAATGTTAAGATCCTCCAGGGTCTTTTTTTTTTTAAGGTTTTATTTATTTGAGAGAAAGAGAGACAGAGCAGGGGGACGGGTAGAGGGAGAGGGAGAAGCAGGCTCCCCTCTGAGCAGGGAGCCCGACGTGAGGCTTGATCCCAGGACCCTGGGATCATATCCCGAGCCGAAGGCAGACGCTTAACCGACTGAGCCACCCAGGCGTCCCGATTTTCCAGTGTCTTATAAGCCAAAGAGTTAAGTTATATTTAGTATAACTTAAATGTTAATTTTAATATATGTACATTTTTTTCAAAAATGGTAATTCTTATATAGAATATACGGTGCTAACTAATAAAACTATGCCGTTTTCCAACTATTTTCAAGCAGTCAGGAGTTTACTCATTTATGACAACTAAAAATGTCCAAAGTAACAATGGCCATGTCTTGGTTACCTCTGGTCAATTTTCCTCTGTTGCAGCACGTCCTTTATGAGGGCCATTCGCACAAGAGCGCTGCCATTAGAGTGGCTCCAGCACCAGAGCTAGGAGGGAAGCAGAGCCTTTACTTGACCGGGAGAAGAAAAGGACATTGACGTGAATGAAACCCAACAGACATCACTTACTGGCATCCTTCTTCCAACAAAAGAATGGGAAAAGATCTTCAGGTCTTGGTCTGCTAAAGAACTTGGCACTACAAAGTATTCTGGAAGGCTGGAGAAGAAAAAGCAAACCGTTCCTGTGCTTTAGGCAGATAAGTGTGCTCTGCAGATCCCATATATACACATTTATCCCCATTTAATGTGTACCCTACTTGGCGGCCACATGGCATCTACCATGGAAGACAAGGCTGACCCTAGACAGCTCTAAAACCTGTATCATTTGGTCAATTACCACAAAACTTATAATTATAGCAGAGGAAACTATCCAAAGGAGATGTCTGAAATATTCTCCGAAGTGATTTTTAATCAAAGATGTATTCAGTTTCTGAAAAACATATCCACCTTTGTTCTCTATGGGTAAGGACAAACGGCACAAAAGACAAAACCAAACCAGACCCACAAATCCAAGGAGCTTTAGTTCCTTATCTCCCTCTTCTAACCGTTCTCATCCCCAAAAGACACCCAGACTCCAGGGTGGAGTCTGGGTGTCTGGACAGCAATTCCTAGTGGGCAGGCTCACTGCGCCGTAACACATCCTCCTTTCTCTCTTCTTCCCTTATCTTTAAAATATTCATGAAAGCACTACTAAAAACAAATATTCCATTCACGGTAACGTGATAAAGTTATCAGAGAGCAGAGTTTGATTCTTATTCATAAGAAGTCATTCCCAGCTATAAATAAGGTTGTTAAAACTGGACTTACCAAGTGGATATCATGTAACCCTCGTTAATAGAACAAACTCTCCATCCGGAAGCACCTGTCCGCTTCATTTCTCGGTCCCAGTCTGAGTACGTTTCGAAGAGCGGAGTGTTTTGGATGCTGCCACCACCAGCCCCCCGGCCACCTCCTGAGGGCATTCCATTAATTTTACTGGCTACGAGAAAAAGCAGTATTATTAGTTTTGTTTCACGGTCACATTTCGTCCCACATGCCCTCTCCTCTCTCAGCGCCTCCTGTCAGGAACACACTCGGATGGGACGGCTCCTCCCTGCGCGTCTTTCCAGTCTCCCTCAGATGTTCCGACTGCTCCCGACGCTCCTGAGGAAGAGGCAGCCTCCTCTTGTCAGAACTCATTTTGTCTCGTCCTCATCCAGCTCTTGCCTGACTCCTTCAGCACCGTTAACTTTTCTGTCCTTCTACTGGCTCTCTCTCGCCTACCTTCAAACACAGGTCACCTTGATTCTGAAGAGACTTTCATTTGACCAAGCTGCACCACTCCAGCTACTGTGCCATCTACATGCATTTTTCCCTCCTCCCTGTTACTGATCATCTTCCCAAAATGATGAACAATGCCTGCTGGCCAGATTTTCTCCTTTTCCATGATCTTCTATCCCTACCATTCCACGGAAGCCACTCATGAGCCTCCCTCATCCCCCTGCCCTAAACTGTGGGGTAAATTCAAATCACTGTTCATTTTTTCCACATGTTTTGCCTGGAGCAATGAACGCATCCGATCATGTCTGTTCTCGACCAAATCTTTCATCCTTCTAATATTGATGCCCCACTCTTTTCTACGGCTCATTATAAAATTCTTGGTCTCCTATATCTACTCAATTTTCCTTTGATAAGCTCACAAGGGTTCCTTGTACTCCACCAGAGGGCCACTCCCACCTGGGGATTTCAGCAGAGGGCCTACACTTGAACTTCCTTAGCAAGGAGCCCTCTCTCACTGAGAACTGCTGTCCTCTGGGAGATGCCCACAGCCTCAGGAAGGCCAGCAGAGTGACCAGAGGGAAAGAGAGCGTCTCAGCAGTCAGCCTGATGTACCCTGGCAAACTGGGGTGACAGACGGCACAATCTTTCCTGGTCCTGCGTCTCACGGCTACAGGTCGCAACGGTGGTGGCAAGTCTCCGGCCTGACCTCCGCGACACGACGTTCTGCAGCACTCAAACCAGCCCGCAGCCTGCACAGGACACAATGCCCCAAAATCATGCTTTCATGATGCTATACCCTTGTCCCAAACTTTCCCTCAGGCTCATTTTCCAACTTCCTGAAGCAAAACAATTTTGCTTAAAAAGCTCTTAATCAACCTGACCTTTCATTACTGCCTAAACCCCATGCTCCCCCATAGCCACGGAAACCCCTTCCTTGTCCCACGAACATGCCATGCCCACTTCTGTGGACCATTTATTAATACCTGGTGCAAGACCGGTATTTTTGGAGAGCCTCCCATGTGCTAAGGCCTGAAAATTAAAAAATGAGTAAGGTTTTATCTGTATCTTGAAAGCACCAACAAGACAGTGGAGGGTAAGCTCAGCCCCGGTCACAGTGAGCTGGATGTACAAGCGCAATGAGAGCGCTCATTGGAGATGGAGGCTGGGGCAGGAGAGGCCCCAGGATCTGACCACACCTGAACAGAGACATAAGGAATGAGCCAAATGTTGCCAGGTGGCTGGTGAGATGAGGAGGAGGTAGGCATGCTGGGCAGAGCAGAACACAAAAAACACGGTATAACTGTATAACATCAAGTAATGAAATACAGCTAGAGCATGAGGGATGCAAGGGATGGTGGAAGAGAGGCTGGAAAAAGAGGTGGGGCCAAGACCCTTGGCCTCTGCTGCCCAAACAGTAGCCACTAGCCACATGTGGGATTTAAATTGAAACAAGATAAAAAAATGCAGGTCCTCAGTTGTACCAGCCACATTTCCAGTGCTCAACAGCCGCATGTGGCTAGTGGGTCCTATACCAGACAGTGCAGAGGAGAGAACATTTCCCTCCCTGGACAGTGCTACTCTAGATTAGAAAGGGTCTTACGCACCATGCTAGGAATTCTGAATTTTATACTTTAAGTGGCATCAGAATTACCCAGTGATTCTGATTTCAGCAGAGCTTGTTTAATATTAAAAGGCTAAAGCCAAGCACATATCCTGGAGTGCCACTCCATCTTAAAGCCTTCTCCAGAGTAGCTACAACTGGAAAGTATGCTGAGGAACTTGAGAGCTGTAATCTCTCCCGGATGAAGAACCTTCCTGGAATGTCCAGGCAACTGTCACTTTACACAGTGTTCCAGAACACCAAAACCACAGAAAGCTATTCAACATTAGAAAATGTAAGTAATTCATCATATGATCAAATTAAAGGGGAAAAAAACACCCCATATGATCAGTTCAAAGTGCAGAGAAATATTTGATCAAGTTCAACACCTACTCATAATTTAAAAAAACAAACTTCAGTAAATTGGGAATAAAAGGGAAATTCCTTACTTGATAAAGGGTAATTACCAGAAACACACAGTAAACATCATCCTCATCAAAATCCGGAACAGAAATGATGCCTGCTATCCTGATTACTATTCAACATTGTACCAGAGGTCCTTGCCACGCAATGAGACAACCACCACCAAAAAAGAAGTATAAAGAGCACATTCATCATTATTAAAGAGCTGTGTAAATAGTTTGGCAGGATACCCTCGACTAGGAGTCTAGAACTGAATACTTTGAGTGTGTTGAAGTTACAGACTTTAGTAAGCCAGGCTGAGAACATACAGTTTATGAGACTGTTTCTCTAGCCAAGATTTAATCTCAAGATCTAACCACAAAAAGACAAATTTTCTGAACATCAGGTGAGGAAAAACTACAGGATATTGCACTGTTTTACTATTTTACAGGTTTTGGTTGTCCGTTTCTCAACAACCAGGACTAGGTTACATATTCTACATCGTCTTCAGTGAGAGCTTATTAGAGAATGTATGGCAGATACTTAATCTGGCATTAGAGAGTCTGGACATTCTAATGCCTTCCAGAAAGTCCCAGAGGCCTGATGCCTGTGGCTGCTCTACAAGTGGGTTACTAACAGGTGCAGCAACAAACTGGCAAAATCAGTCATCGCAGGAAGATCCAGCTTTCCTGAGAGGTACCTGAGCTTTTAGGACAGCTCCTCAGCCAACTAAACGTGAAAACTAGATCGTGAGCACTCCTGACCTTGGCTATCTTCCTCTTCTTCTTCTTTAAGATTTATTTATTTGTCTGAGAGCAAGAGTGAGAGAGAGAGAGCGAGCACGTGCACACGTGCGCATAAGCCGGGGGCGGGGGGGGGGGGGGAGTGCAGAGGGAGAGGGAGAAAGAATCCTCACACAGACTTCCCACTGAGCTCGGAGCCCAACACAGAGCTTGATCCCTGGACCCTGAGATCATGACCTAAACTAAAATCAAGAGTATTTGAATGCGCTCAACCGACTGAGTCACCCAGGCGCCCCACCCTGGCTATCTTCTGCGACACAGTTCAGAAGTCTAATCCCATGCTGTGCTGAAATTATCCACTTAACTAGCCCCATCTATATTTAGAATGGCCTCAAACAACAGCAAAGACAATAAAAGTGGTCAACAAATGAGAAGAAAGCCTATCACTTTGATGATACTGCAGAAATCAAGTCATAAAGGATGACAAGGGTAAAAACAAAGCTGCGATGTTCAGTTCAACAGGGTGAGTCAACTTAGTGGTTCTAACTGGGGGACTTGGACTTTGGGCCTGGGGAAGAGCTGGGACGGCTGCATTTCTAAAAGTTCCTCCAGGGATTCTGATACAGGAGGCTGGATGGGAACCACCAGTATTCAAGAGATCAAAGGATCAGTCACAACCATGTATAGCTACACTTGAGAATCTTCAAAGAACTGACAGGCAACAAACTTCAAAAATTTCTACAGTTTCAAATGGACTATATACTCCGTAAGTGGTTTTCAAATAAGCATTTAATGGAAAATCTAATACCAAGGTCTTTGTTAATAAAAAAGATAAAATTACAAAATAAAATAAACCACTGAAAATGTACATCTTCTGTCATGAGACTACACAACTTGAGATTACATCACAGCATTTGCAAGCTCAATGTCTGCCATGGAGTAGAGCTGCTAACACTGAGGCTGCAGATAACTTCATGAGGTTGTCTTTTATTTCTTTTTAGAGAGGGGGAGGGGCAGTGGAAGAGGGAGAGAGAATCTTACGCAGGCTCCACGCCCAGGGCAGAGCCTGATGTGGGGCTCGCGATCTCACCATGCTGAGATCATGACCTGAGCGGAAAATCAAGAGTAGACACTTAACTGACTAAGCCCCCCAGGCGTCCCAACTTTTTCAGACTGAAAGCATAATCTGACATCTTATCAATTTTATCACAAAGATCAGTCTGTACTTTTGTGACATTATTTGCCCAATAATAACCTGACTGCGGAAAGCAGAGTTCTTGTGGTTTCTTTCAAGTTATAAAAGAAAAAAACCAGAACCACTGTGCTTGTCTGTGCCAGCACCCCCTGAGGGGCTCCAAGCCTGGGGTCCCAGTGCTATGCACCGTCCCTTTACTTCGGGATCCTCACAGAACTACTTGGATGACTGGTGAGCTCTGCAGAGATGGTGTTCTCACTCAAGGGATGCCGAACATGGAAGAAACCCTCAGAGTGCCTAAGGCCATCTCAAAGATTCTTTCCTTAGGTAACTGCAGGGGACATCCTTTAACTTCAGATCTTATTCGTGGAAACAGCTTTGTCACCTACCTGCCTGCAAAAAGGACTTCTTTATTCTTTAATCCAGCCAATGAATCAAGGTGGCATCCAGAAGTTCAAGAGTGGATTATTGGGCATCTTTCACTCACAAATTAATGAATTCTGACTGCAGTGTGTGGACAGTTCAGGCTTCTTTTGATCTTAAGGATGCAGTTTATGCTTCTGCAACAGCACGGAAGGATATTAAAGGGTGTTACCCTAGGAGGAATCTTAACAAAACTCTGGCCCAGTGTTAGGTTTATGAAGTACCTATCAAAGCAGGAGGTGACTGAAGGATGTAATAAAAAAAGTGTTCCTGAATATTTTAAGTATTAATTATCAAATTTTATCAACAAGCTACATATAAGAAGACATACAGAACTGACTCATGTAAATAAGAAAACCCAGTAGTAGAAGAGCTATGGGTAGAATAACTATTCGCAGTATTATTAACCCAGAGATGCCCATAAGGAATGGATGAGGAAAACTGAAAAATAACTAGAGGAGGCATCAGGTTCCCAAACGCATGATGAAGTTTACTGCCTTTGCTGAGCTCAGGTCATTACATTACTGCGGAAATCATAGATCTATATCCTGGACGGAATCATTTCTATTAGAAAAAAAAAATAGCATGAAGAATTGATCTGTATAATAAATTTAAGTGAGAATCAAAGACTCTTAGAACTCTTGGACCTCTTGAAACTTTCATTTCAGCTACTCTCTTGCAAGTGTGGGTGAGGATCTTATTGAAAATAACCTTGATGATCATGGTCTGTAGCTTGATGATGATCCAAAGAAATATTCACCTAATGAGTAGTGCAGGATCTACAATACTTTTATGTTTAGACAATAAGTAAATTTTATAATTTATATTAAGAAATAAACTTCAAAAATTAATTATTTTGCTCAAGCCTAAGTTACAATTGGTTACATTTTGCTAAGAAAAATTAAGTTACAAATACTTTGTCTTCCAATTTCTACAAATAGAGCACCGTATGGTAAAAGCTACTCCTTCTGCAAAGCATGACTTTCACATACCATCTCTATGGTGTTTACAAGTATCTTTTAAAGTAGTGAAAATACACTTATACCATATGCACCTGCAGATACTCTGTATTGTTCCTACATCTTAATGTATTTACAATACAGTGATACTCAAATATGCTTTTATTTCATAGATTAAATTACTACAGTATGTTTTGAGATAATAAAATGAAAGACCAGTACAATTAATAATTTGTAAGATCCCTGTTCAGACCATGTTGGAGTGAACTGATCTTTCCTTGTAAATACATAATTATTTTTCTTCCATAATAGTGGGAGAACATGTACCTTAGTAGGTTGAGTCGATGTGTGGTCCCTAATCCACAAGTGGCTAATAAGAGACATGACCCCTTTGTTTTTCTCCTCTATCCTTTTATGAGGTTTTTTAAAAATGGCTGATTAAAATTACATTTGCATATAAGAAATGTACAGAATTACATGATCATCTGGAATCTTCCTTGGTGATGTCATCACTGAGTAATTACATATTCAGTAAGCATATGAACAGTACTACTTTACTTTTACAAAAACTGCCTAGAATATACTTGTCCTTTGGACAAACACTCCTCTTCCTTTCATCAATCTTATTAAGAAATATAAAGTCAGTATTTTGATGATCTCGATGATCTCTCCACTAAAAAGTTTAACCACTTTAGCTTTTGCATGAAATCACACTGTCAGAAAACATCATGCATTTCAAGTACCTTTTAATTTTCTGTCAGTTTTCTTTAAAAGATGAGATTATTTCAACTCAAGCTATCAATTAAAAGTGGGAGGAGGGGGATCTTTCTTCACCATAAAATATAAGCCAGGGACCATAGGTAAAAGATCTGACAGGATTCTTTTTTTTTTTTTTTTTTAAGATTTTGTTTATTTGACAGAGAGAGACAGAGCAAGAGAGGGAACACAAGCAGGGGGAGTGGGAGGGAGAAGCGGGCTTCCCAAAGAGCAGGGAGTCTGATGCGGGGCTCAATCCCAGGACCCTGGGATCATGACCTGAGCCGAAGGCAGACGCTTAACGACTGAGCCACCCAGGCGCCCCTAGACCTCACATGATTCTTATAAGCCTATGTTTATAGCTGCTTACAGGTTCTTCCTGGTCCCTTTCTAAGAAATAATCTAACAAATATTGTCTCTTTTAGTATATAGTGCTTTCTTCTCTAGCAGTTATGAAGCTAATAATTCTTCAATCATTAAAGCTCATGTACTTGGAAGCCTCTGATAAACATAAGAATAAAATTTAAACAATGTAAAGTTAGTCACAATATTTAATATTTTCATATTTACCTGAATTGTGGTATTTTTTCCCAACATATTCAAATGCAAAGAGTAGCTGGAGGTCTGTTGGCTGGGAATAATGAGCTATTGCAAGGCATACCTAGGAAAAATTCTACATTTAGAATTTGATTTTAACACACTTATTTAAATGAAATGTACAATAAGGCCTTGATTACTGGGAGCATCATCCTGGGTGGGCTGGTGATTATAGATACTTATTTACATGTTTTTTCTGTTAAACCTAGAATGTGAAAGAGCTCCTTAAGGCCAGGTATCTCATTCATTGTTGTGCCCCCAGGACACTGTTTATAATCTTTAGGGAGTACATGGTATTTAGTAAGTGTTTGCTGAGTTGAATTTCAACAGGAAAGTAGTTTTATTCAAAAAAAGAAACCTGAAACCTAAAGAAGCATTCTCCAAAAAGGCAGTGACGTGTGTATATATATATATACATATGTATTCCTAAAGAAAGGATTAAAAAAAGTTTCATTTTTGGTGGACTATAATGATTTAATACCAGCAATCTTGAAGGCTTAATGTAAGGTATGAAATTTTAATGTTCATACCTCATGGATTAAAAAAAACCTAGACTTAATAGGAAAGCTACAATCACAAAAAATGAAAATTAGCAAGAAACCCAAAAGTACAGGGTGGCTCAAAGAGGTAAATTAAAAAAAAAAACAAACACACAAAAAAACAACTGTGTTTAAGAAAATGGTTTGAGACTACATCTAGGGTGGAGAAAGTGCTCAATCGAATAGATCAGGAACTGAATCCCATGGTCTACCAAACACCTGCCCTGTAAATGGTATGAAATCAGTTCATCTCTCTGAGCCTTGGTTTATGCAACTGTAAAATGAAGATAATACCTATGGCTATGGTAAGGATTAATTGTCTTAATGCGTGCCTGGCCTCTGCAGAAGCTCCATACATGGAAATACGGTTGATATTATTCCCAACTGCCGTTGGAGAGAAGGAAGGATGGACAGTGCCCTATGTTGACAATGCCCTGGACTAGACTGCAGAAGAAAATACTCTTAAATGATTGGAGCAGAAAGAAGAAATTTAAGACATACGAAAGGAGAGAAGAGAGGATCTTACTTAAAAAGGTTAAATATCATTTAGAAGGAAAAGCATTAAGCCAGAACAATATACTTTTGACAGTGAGCAAGCAGGAAAAGTTTAGTTCATTGTTAGTCCATGTCGATTAGTGGTGTTTGAGAGGGTTGGTGCAAATTCTAGTAACAGGTAACTATGTGTCAAGTTCTTGTTTAAAATATATTATTAAAAGACTTCTATAGAATAAATGTTTCCTGTCTTACTAAATTAGAATATATATACAAATAAGAGGACAGAGTTTATCACTAGTTTTAGTTTTGACTAAAAACAGTAACAAAAGATTCCTGAAACTTTTATGTAATACCTCAATTTAACTGACTACAAGGAAAGCTTTCCAGAACAGTCCCATTTATGCAATTAGGAGGCAGTGATCTGCATTCCCATCCTTAATCTGTCCAAGTCTTCCCTAGAGAGCTTCTTCTAGCGGCCAAAGTACTGAAATCTGTACTTGAAGAAGTCCTCGACCACTTCTTATTCCTCTCGGCACCATACGTAGTTTATAAGCTTCGTTGTACTTTCCTCAAGATTATCATTCATTTTTGTTCCATTTCTCTGCACTACCACAGCCATATTCTTAAGCCATACTCACCTTTCGGCATCTCTGTGAGCTTCCCTACATTTTGGGAAGAAAAAAAAAAAAATCCACAATGCCTAAGAAGTATCTTCTAAAAATGAAATTCTGACCAACAAGTTTGCTCCCCAGATAACCTGCTGTGGTTCCCAGATACCTGCCTAATAAAAGAAATCTTCTCATTCTTGATTCTTCACCAAGCTGGCTCTCCTCTACCAGACATCCCTTCCCTCAGTGGTCTTCTGTCAGAGAACAACACATTTGCACGTACTGCCTGCCTTACTCCCAGCCGCCTCCTCCGCCACACTCTGCCCGGGAAATCCTTCCGCACTGCGGAGCCAACCACGCTGTCTCTGGAAACTACCTGCTCTGTTCAACTCCAATCTCTTCACAGGCCCTCCTAGCCCGAGCCAATTTCACAGTATCAACTGCAGAAACCCTTCTGCTCTCTCTGAACAACCACCGCTCTGATATAAAGGGTCTCTTCCGTTACTGTGCTTGTGTAGCTGAATGAGTTTCAGAGTATTCATGACATAGTTCTGAGTGTAGCTGAAAGGGGCATAGGGGCTCTTCGTTTTACTTCCACCATTAAATTCAATCCCTCAAGGGGAGATGCTGCCTCTGTCATTCATTCGACAGGTATTTCCTGTGCATCCACCACATCCAAAGCCCTGGGGCTGCAGCAATGAACAACACAGGCGCAGATCCCCGGCATCATGAGGGGGGAAGACAGACATGAAACGAAATAAACAAGAAATGATAGTAAGTGACATCACTGTAAGTGCTAAAGGAAAAAAAAAAAGTCCAGCAGGGGAGGGATACGAGGTGTTATGGTGAGGCAGAGAAGGGAGTGGGTTAATAATTTAGAGAAGGAGACCAGGAAAGACCTCTCTGTGCAGAGCTGAGTGAAGACCTGAAGACTTCTGCATTTTTGCTTTTCCTCAGTAGCTTTCTGAAGGTGCTTTGTGCACAACAGCAGCTGTGCTAAAAATACTAGTTGACAAAATTATTTACTAACATAGTAAGGAAAATGCTCTAAGCCAATGAAACGAGCATATCACGTTGTCTAACACATTTAGAAAGCAGCCACAGGCCTTGTTTACACAAAAGAAATTCACAGATCATTATGGAGTATGTTGTTTATGGTCACAAAGCAAAAACAAACAAAGCCTATCTGCTAGGCAAACCCAACGTAGCCCATTTCTAAAAAGCCCTTTAGAATAGCACATCACATTTATAAAGGTTAGGAAACAAATGAGTATGTCTAATAGCATCTCCATTGCAAGAAGACTGTAACAATCTTGTGAAACCGAAACTGTTCAATCACCTGCACAATGGCTGATGGGGGCGGGGGGGGGGCACAGAATGAACTAAAGCTGGTGCTGAGTAGTGTAATTACAAGTGTGTATAACTTCTTTCTATGTAACCTAAGCAAGGGGCATCTTTGGGGACCCAGATAAAGGCACATACCACTTGTGCTATCTGGGTTACATTCATGCTGTTGTTATATAGGACATTTTGAGAAGGGAAATAAAGCCAAGAATCCTTTCCCTCAAGCTTTTCCATACACAACCCCTTAAAAAGCTTATGTCCACATTCTTAGCTTCTGTCACTAAGAGCTTGAAAGACTTAAAAAAGAAGGTCTCATTTTCATGTAAAATTATCCTAATTTTGCAATGTACTCCATAAGCATTAAAAATTTTTAGAAAAACTCTACCTCTTTAAAAACTGCTTCTGAAAATAGTTCCTCTGCCCTGGCTGTCATAGGGAACAAAGACTATCTTGGGATTAAAGACATTCAATGATGGTAAATATTTCATTGGAGGAAAAAAAGTAAACTACTTCTGAAGTGATTTCTGGACCAAGAACAATCTTGTGGACAGAAGCCAGAAGTACCCACAGCTGGTTTCTCCTCTAAGACCAGCTGGGGGCGCAGCACTGGAGAAGCTCAAACTAATCAAGTTCTAGCACACTGGCAAACAAAACTGGTTTCCTATATTTTGTGGTCTGAAAGTCACCAAGGAGTAAGTCTCAGATTCAAGGGGAAAAAAAAAAAAAAGACAGTTCACAAAAAGCCAACTTATTCTTTAAATAGGTGGGCTGAATTTTCACTTTTAGAAAGTATGCCTGACAAGTGGTTCACAATCAACTAGATTCTCACAATCTGAGAATAAAGTAGAAACAAAGGGCATACGTTTCACTTACCATCTTTATATACATGTACACACACATATATATATATTTTATAAGCGATAAATCATTAAAAATGATTTTTTTTTGCCCCTCCATTTCGAAAAGAGGTTCTTCAAAAGGAAAGGGTGGCTCCCAGTTGCTTTGAGGCTAGACATCCAGTTCTGCAATATAAAATTCCTTCTTGCTTTATACAGATCTGTCCCAAACATCCTCATTTATTTGTGACAGACCAAGGATGAGGATGAATGCTAACGGATGCAGGAGCACAGTGTCATCTAATTTTGTCATAACACAATTTAGGCAACACCAACCAGACTACCAGAAGGTTATAGAGTAATATTTAACAAAATGTCAACCCATTTAGCATTTCGAGATTTCATATTTCAAACAGAAATATAAATGCTTCTGGTATTTCAAAGCTAATCAGTGGTTTACCCACCAGAGAACTCTGAATGTGCATCTGGTCATTTTAAAACGACTTATAAAATCAGAGCATTTCCAGAGAAAATTTAGCTTTCAAAATTTCCGGGAGGTAAAATCAAGCTGTAACTTCCCAACTGTTACCTAATTTTAGATGAAAACTTTCACTTGAAATAAAAAAAAATGCTAGAATTCTTGTTTTTAACTCATGAAGCCAGTAAGCTTTGGCAGCACACATGCCCTAACCTCTGTGTTTGAAACGTAAATCGGGGGAAAATTTCTCTGTTTATATTCTTATTGCCTCTAATTTTCTTTCCTGCACCTGCCCCTCCCCACAACAGGACTGTACAAAAGACAAAAAAAAGCATTTCTTTCAGGCCTGAGCTTATAGGCTTTTAATATTTTAAGACAGAGGGGAAAGGATTTGTGCCAGAAATCCAGTCTTGGGAAAGGGCATAAACAGTTGGACTAGGCTGTTTCATGCAGACAGTTCAGCGCAGCCCCCTTCATCACTTACCAGCAGCACAACAGACAAGGGAGATCCTGAATTTCCAGAGCACTTAACTGTTTCATTCATCTGGCAACTAATCACTTACGTGGCAACATCTTTTATGCCACTACTTTGTACCACTGTTCAATTTTCATTTGTTCATGCTCTATCTTCTCCACTAAGCACACTGCCTCACACATTAAAAATGACCAGCAGGTGTTTATTAGAAGGCTCAAGAATGAAGCCAAATAATTATGATTTCCAATTACTGAAATAGAGTCATCTGAAAAATATAGTTGAGAGTGGGAGAGAGGGAAACTTTCTGAAAGAATATTGGGCAACTGTATCAATTCCTTACTTAAAAAAAATCCTGTCCTAACTAAATCTCTTACATTCCATGGTGTCGCTATTCTTGAAATGCTATATATCCTGAAATTAAGATTTTCATAAGCAGATTCTTGATGTTTTGACTGATTAAATTACAAGTATATATTTAAGCTCAAGAAAGTAACTCAGCTAAAATGTTTTATATACAGCCTACAACCTAACGAGTCTTAAAGTCTTTCTATAGAAGAGTAGGCATCTCAAGTTAGTAAAATGCCAAAATCACAAATGGCAGAACTAAACAGATGAAAGGGGCCTACAAAATGTGAACCAATGAGTTACAGCTACCTAGCTGAATTTTTGGTAACGCAGCATGCTGAAAGATGGCTTTACAGACTCTACCTGAAAACTTTTAGCCAGAGAGCCCGCTATCACTCTGCTAGATCATCTAGTCCTCAAGGTCCAGCATGTTCAGATATTTATCTTATGCTTGCCTTCCTGTGAGGAAACTGTTGATTCTAAGTTCTAAAAATAAATCTACAATGTCCTCACCAAAGTGTATGAAAACAGCTGCCTTAAATATTTTTGACAGCCTCATTTGGATATCAACAGAAAATTCACTGCAGTAAGTCTACTAACCATGGAAACCAAATGCAGCAGTGCATTCTGGGGTGGTGCAAAAGCAGACTCATTTCTGAGAGAAGGTTCCACTTCACTAAGAAACTGTTCCTTTATTTCCAATGTGTGGGAGCAGACTCCTGGAAAGTGTTAAGATTCTCTGCATTGCTGCATCATAGACTGGACCAGTAGGGCAATAGGTCCACCAGCTTCACTCCTCTGCCACAGCCAAAATGTGGGATCAAGGAAGTGGGAATTTCTGCCCGTGAATCTTACTCCACCAGCAGGCAATAAACATTCCCCGGAAGGCAGGAGAAAAACAAAGCCAATTAAAAAGTCCCTAGCTTTTAGCTGTTCCTGTGGAATAGCACTCAAATTAATTCACTAAGATTTCTTTAAAGCACTAATAATTATTAGGCCTCTCCCATAACTATACCTTTACCTAATCCTTACATAACTTAAGTCTAACTTTTAGTTCATTGATGACGTTCTGAGGTATTTTCTGAATTTCTAACCGAGAAAGAAACAAGCTGGTAATGGTCTAAATGCAAAAGATACACTAATTTCCACATCATAGTTTCTAGTATTGTAGGAGCTGATTAAAAAACAAACAAACAAACAAACAAACAAACCTAAAAACCTATATAGAATACTTTAAAGCAGCCAAACCATAAATTAGTCCAAAGAAATAGTTCTATTAACATTCTTGGCTTTTATTTTACCTAAGGAAGTATCTGATGACTTCCCCTAAAAAAAAAATCTGAGCAACTGAGGAAAAAGAACTTCCATACAGAACTGATATTGGTAAATATAGTATGAAACCGAAAACTTGAAAAAGCTTAATAGTATTACCTTTTTGGCACTTTCAGGACCTGATTCATCAAAGCGAAATCTGACAATTCTGAAATCTTTACAGTAAATAATTAACTCTGTTGGATTAAATTTCAGTTTCTGGTTGGGACCTAGGACTTTCTGCTTCCTCTTGTGGTCATTTACTAAAAATGAAAAAATAAAGAAAATATGTGTAAAAATTCTTTTTGTTACTCACTCTTTAGTATACCTTAACAAATTATTACTGTAAATAATTAGAAGGTTACCCACTGCTTCTGTGGAATCTTTCATATTTTCTACAATTTACAGAACTTGGAAAGGGGATCGGTTTTAACTTTGCTTTTGACTATATTTTAAGTGATCCTTGCCCAAAATCACCACCAGCTAGACACATTTAATGTCTTTTTTAATTAAAAAGAAGACAAATACTTAGAAAACATAAAAAGCTAAATACACTATATTTCCATTTAAAAATAACTTATTGACTTCGGGGCACCTGAGTGGCTCAGTCAGTTGGTGTCTGACTCTTGATTTCAGCTCAGGTCATGATCTCAGGGTCATGGGATTGAGCTCCCCCGCGTCGGGCTCGGCACTCAACCGGGAGTCTGTTTAAGATTCTCTCTCTCCCTCTCCCTCCTCCCTTCCCCCTGTTCACGCTTGCTCTCCCTCTCTAAAATAAATAAACGTTTTAAAAAATAATTTATTGACTTTAATATTCTTGGGACTCAAAAAAAAAAGTGGGGGGGGACATAAACCTACAGAAATAAAATTCCAACCTAAATATTTGAGAGGTGTGATTCTTCAAGCAATACTTCCTGAGGAGAATCAGCTTTTTATGGACTGAGTAAAGAATACTACATACCTGTGACAATTTGCTCAATACATGTTAAAGGGACATCATGTTCACCAAGAAGAAGGTTTCTGTAATGGAATTTCTGAAATAAAAATTATGTTCACGTTAAGTCTTTCCCCAACAACCTCAAAGGGTGAGTAACAGATTTACTCTTACATGTGATAAAAAACTATGATGACTATCTCTAAGAAGAATAAAAAGCTTTTGTCTGCAGAACTATGACAGTTCTAAGGAGGGAGTATCTTAGAACACACTTCAGTCATGAAAAGGAAAAAGAAACACATGCTGTGTTCACACTCTCTCCACCTTTCTCTCCATACTTTTAAATATGAAATGAGGTTAAATTGTATGCGGTAATACCATTATAATATCCAAGATATGTAATATTATCAATCACTTCATAGGCAACCATTTGCACGTCTAGTTCTGGTTAAACCGTCAATAAAATAATAAAGAAAAAGAGACTCTTAAGTCATCAGTTTTTAATGGGTAAAATCATGGCTTGATTTTACAAAGGAGACTTTAGAAAATCAGTCTTTAGAAAGTAATTTTTAGAGCAGAAGTTCTACTAGAAATAAAAATCTTCAGGCAAACTACAGCTTTTTTTCTTTTAACGTGTCAACAAACACTTTATACCCATTTTTAAACTGAGAACACAGGTGACACATTAACCTGCTGTCAGTAGAGTACTGGTTTATTTCCCCTATCAGTGGTATGAGATGTGAGCTATTTTAAATATATGCATCTCATTTACAGTGAAGTCTGCAGCCACAGATAAAAATGAAGCTAAAAACAAAGGGGAAAAACCCAAGTCTATAGCCAAATAAATCAGTATGTCTATATACTAGGTATCTGTAAATGCCTTTAGTCTAAATATACCTACAATAGTTTGCAGTAAACACACAAATGTAAGTTAAATATTTTGGCAAACTAATGACTATATGAAATATATGTATCCGGAGTCAGACACTTCTGTCAAAAGTTTACATTAATTATCCAAATATTTGATTAGAGAACAATTCCTATTACAAATAAAAATCTAGGGGATAAAAGTACGTAACACTTTACAAACCAAAATAGAAGAGCCAAGGAAAAGTCCAGAATTTTTAAGTTAATCATACAAATACCTGAACTTTTAAAAACCAAAATTCAACGGTACTACTGTTTTCCAGTGAGACCATAAAATGGCAAGAGGGTTATTAAAGACAAATTTTATTAATATTTTTCTTCATTCTAATTGTACTGGAAATTTGAAATTTCAAACTAGAATTTGATGTTTCAGAAAAGGAATTGGTTAAAAATACTAGGAAATCTAGGGGCGCCTGGGTGGCTCAGTTGGTTAAGCGACTGCCTTCGGCTCAGGTCATGATCCTGGAGTCCCTGGATCGAGTCCTGCATCGGGCTCCCTGCTCAGCAGGGAGTCTGCTTCTCCCTCTGACCCTCCCCCCTCTCATGTGCTTGCTCTCTCTCATTCTCTCTCTCTCAAATAAATAAATAAAATCTTTAAAAAAAAAAAAAACTAGGAAATCTATAAAACGTGCTGTGTTTATACAATTATTTGCTATAAATACTTAAGCTTTTCTCTTTAGGACTAGTAAAAAAAAAAAAAAAAAAGGACAGCTTCATTTTTAAAAGCAATTTAAAATATGCAGAAGAAAGAAAATACTAACTCCCATTATTGAAAGAATATCCAAGCAAAAATCACAGGAGATAAAAAAGCAAGGTGACCAACCATCTCACAAATTCTACTCCTTGAATCCCAACATCCTCCTTACGATTTTGAAGTTTAATATAATACGTTCCCAACATTGTTAATCACTTAATGATTTTATTATAATTTTCCATACCTGTGCTTTATGTAATTACATGTACCGCTCAGAGTCAAATCCTTGATCCAATAAAACAGCACACAAATAACACACACCTGTAACGGCAGCGGGTCATCCGTAATAAAGGAAATTTTGAAGTTACTGCAGATCAGCTTTCCCCACAGATCGTACTGACTTGTGTCCGTTGCAATGCATTTTCTCACAAAATTGACTTCATTTACGACAATTTCTCCTTTTAAAAAAGAAAAATATTGTGTGAGCTATAATTATACCATAAAATGTCTACAGTCACCGTGTGGCCTACAAGGACTACTTCATGGTGACAAGAGTAAGAACAAACCCTGGAGGCCCACCAGGTGCCAGGCACCACGGATGCTTTCATCCTCACAACAGCAAGGTGCTGCCCACCATTTGTGAGACACAGAAACTGAGGCCCGAAGAGCTGAGGGGTCTGAAATGGTTCAAACAGAAAGGCTCAAACTGAGTCTGCATTCTTTAGTGCTACGTGATACTGCCTCTCGTTATCTTTTACTGAAACGCATTCTGGAGAAGAGAGAAACTACTCTCTCTTCTTCAGAGTACTGCTTGAGGGGATATTTGTGTTTTATTAACATGTGACTTTACATCCCAAACCAATTTCTTTGATTCCTTTACTAAGTGATGAGAAACAGAGTTTGGGTTTAACCTCAAAATTAATACAATCTATTATTGGTAAATAGGGTTCCGGATGGTGAGCTAGGAAGACCCTGAACTCATCTCCTCTCGTGGACGTACTGAGTCTATAGCTACATACAGACAATTTCCTCTTAAAAAAAAAACCCTTAAGGCTAGCTGAGTGATGGCTACCCACTGGGCAAATGAGAACTAAACCATATTGCAAGCGGGTAGGAGAGGCTGGGACATAATCTCACTATAAACCCCATCGCTGCATGGTGACCCACAACCAGCATGCAACTCAAAACCCAAAGGAGTGAAGGGTTCAAATGGTACATAAGGCATCCCAAGTTTTAACACATACCTTGAGAGACAAGCCCTCAAAACATGGAACTTTGAAAACCAATGAGGCTTGTGTCCCAAGACCCTACAGATCTGAGAAACTGCTCTTAAAAGGCTCAGACACTTAGACTCACAAACCCGGGGGCCCAAGTCGGAGGCAGTGATGGTGCCCAGACTTAAAGTGAAGGAGGCTTACCTGTGTATATTAAAGCACTGGCCTGAAGGACAGGTGTGTTATTTAACACATGTATCTAGGAGCCTGTTGGAACACTCTCTGGGGACCGAGACTAGTGGATACCACATTCACACACTCCCTCTGCTGTGCTCCAGAGCACCAGGATCTCTCAGAAGGGAGCTTTTACATACATCTATTACCCTGATTTTTGTGGCTGCCAACTAGGGAGCACCTCCTGATCACCTGGCTCTGAAGGCCAGGGGAGCTTCTGTTCTTTGTCCCTTGGGACTGTAATAATCGTGTCACCCAGAAAGGAGCTTGTACCCCTGCCTGGAGCTCTGATTTTTGTGCCTGCTGCCAGGGGACATCTCTCCATCATGTGGCTCTAGGAGGAGATTTTCACTTATAAGTCCCACAGGACTGTAACCACCAGAGAAAGAGTTCTTAAGCAGCTACCACCCCCAAGGTACAGCAAGAGGCAACAGACCCAGGAGCACAGTCCTTCTGTGAAGGAAGACCATTAGCTAAACATCACAACCGTGGCCTGAGGGGCAAGTTTCTAATGACACACACATCTAGGGTCTGACTGTAATCCTTTCGAGAAACCTCGGAGGGTGTGTGCTCTCTTTGTGCTCACGCTCTGCAGCACTCCAGGGCATCAGGGTCTCCTGGAGGGGCACTTTACGTGCCTCTCATGTCCTGGCTTTTATGTCTGGAGTCCTAGTTTTTGCACTGCTGCCCAGGGGACACCCCTTGATCATCTGGCTCTAGTGGCCCCCAGGGGGGTTTGCATTCTGGATACCATGACCCTATGGCAATGAGAGAGATGGTTCTTGGCAGGCAACCACCCCTAGGGTGCTGCACAGACAGGAGACAGGGACCACCACCCCCGCCCCTCTCCCCAGTCTCTCCGAAGGAGGCCTCTCTGCTTATGCTAGAGCAGGCTTCAGGTCTGGCATATATTTAGTGGTCTAGAGAACTGCTGTCAAAGAAAGTGGGCTGTGGAGGCCATCTTGATGTTCTCCCTCTGCCTTTCACCAGCTTACTAGTATCACCCAGAAAAGAGCTCATACACTTGTCTGGAGCACTGATTTTTCTAACTTCTACCCAGGAGACACCTCCAGCTCTCCTGGCTCTCGTGGCCAGTAGGGCTTACGTTTGTGGTCCCACAAGACTATCTATATATTGCATACCTTAAAAAGTTGATGCCTGAGGGTCTGGCTTCCAGTCAGCTGGAATCTAGGTGCTGAGATCCTCCCCTCTGCAACACTGACTGATTTGGCACATCCTGAACTACTGGGAACTATTAAAAATATAATAGGCTGATTGGACAAGCAGGATGGTTTGAACAAAGAGCTGGGGGAGGGCTGAACAATAAGGTTCATCTCTGACACAAGGCCCCTCCTTCAAGACTGTGAGAGGTTGTTGTTTCATCTACTATATAGAAACCAACACAGAGAGTCAAGCAAAGTGAAGAAACAGAGGAGTATGTTCCAAATGACAGAACAAGATAAAACCTCAGAGAAAAAACTTAAATAGAAATAAGTAATTTACCTGATAAAGAGTTCAAAATAATGGTGGTAAAGATGCTCATCGAAAATGAAAACACTAACTCAAAAAGATAAAAGTGCCCCTGTTTATTGCAGCATTATTTACAACAGTTAAGACATGGAAGCAACATAAGTATCCATCAATAGACAAATGGATAAGGAAAATGTGGTATATATACACAATGGAATATTACACAGCCATAAAGGATGAGATCATGCCATTTGAGACAACATGGATGGGCCTAGAGGGTATCATGCTAACTAAAAGTAAGTCAGATTGAGAAAGACAAATACCATATGATTCCACTCGTAAGTATAATCTAAAAAAATAAATAGACAAAAGTCAAAATCAGAACCATAAATAGAGCAAACTGATGGTTGCCAGAGGGGAAGAGAGCGGGTGGTTGGGCAAAGGAGCAGGAGATACAGGGCTCCAGTTATGGAATGAGTAACTTAGAGGAATAAAAAGCAGAACATAAGGAATACATTGTTGATATTGTAATAGCTATGCAATAGGACAGATGGTAGCTACACTTGTGAGCAGAACATAATGTGTAAAGCTGTCAAATCACTAAGTTGTATACCTGAAACTAATGTAACATGGTGTGTCAAGCACAATGAGTTTTCTTGAACTGTTTGAAGGAGGCAGTTTTCAGGATAGCTTTTCTGACTTCACAGATTTTTAAAATTGCATTTAAATTAAAAAAAAAAAGATGCTCACAGAACTGGGGAAAAAAAATGTACGAACACAATGAGAACAAAAAGATGGAAGATGTAAGAAGATACTGAACAGAAGTCACAGGGTTGTCGAATACAGTAACTGAACCAAAAACGCCCCAAGGGGGTTCAATAACAGACTAGATGAAAAAAAAAGAATCAGTCAACTTCAAAACAAGGCAATAGAACCCAGCCCAAATCAGGATAGTAAAAAGAAAAAAAGAATGGAAAATCTGAGGATAGTTTAAAGGACTTACTGGACAACATCAAATGAACTAACATTTGCATCATAGGGCTCCCAGGAGAAGGGAAAGGGGGAGAAATCTTATTGGAAGAAATAATTTCTGAAAACTTCCCTAACCTGGGGAACAGACATCCAGATCCAGGAAGCTCAGGAAGTTCCCAAGAAGAGCAACCCAAAGAGACCCACACCAAGACACACTGTAATTAAAATGTTAAAAGTTAAAGACAAGGAGAAAATATTAAAAGTGGAAAGAGAAAAACAACTTATTACAGACAAGGAAGCCCCACAAGGCTATCAGCAGACCTTTCAGCAGAAACTGCACAGGCCAGGAGACGGTGACTATATATTCAAAGTGCTGAAAGAAAAAAACCCTCTACACAGCAAAATTATTCAGAAGTGGAGAGGAAATAAAAAATTTTCCAGACAAGCAAAAGCTAAAGAAGTTTATCACCACTAAACTGGCTTTACAAGAAATGTTAAAAAAGACTTCTTTACACTGAAAAGAAAGGGCACTAATTAATTACAAGAACACATATGAAGGATTACATCTCACTGGAAAGATACACATATAGTAAAGGTAGCGGATTAATTATGTCTAAAGCTATTAAGAAGGTTAAAAGACAAAAGAAATGACCTAAAACTACAATATTTGGTTACAGGATACAGAAGATAAAAAGATGTAAAATGTGACATGAGAAACTATGAAGTGTGGGTGGGAAGAGTAATTATCTTGAGCTTTACAATGGGATAAAACTTAAATTGTTATCAACTTAAAATAGACTGCAACAGATAGAAGTTGTTATAGGCAAGCCTCATGGTTGCAAAACAAAGCAAAAACCTATAGTACATATACAAAAGATAAAGAGAAAAGAATATAAGATACCACTAAAGAAAGCCATCAAACCACAAAGGAAGAAAGCAATGGAAGAAAGGAACAGAGAGGAACTACAAAAACTGCCAGAAAACAAGTAATAAAATGGCAATAAGCACAAACCTCTCAATAATTACTTTAAATGTAAATGGACTAAATGTTCCAATCAAAAGATACAGAGTGGGTGAATGGATAAAAAAACAAGACCCATCTATATGCTACCTCTAAGAGACTCGCTTTAGATGTATGGACACACAGACTGAAAAAGAAGGATGGAACAAGGGATTTTCCATGCAAATGGAAAGCAAAGCTGGTGTATCTATACTTACATCAGACAAAACAGACTTTAAAACAAAGACTGTGATAACCGACAAAGAAGGGTGCTACATAATGGTAAAAGGGTCGATCCAACAAGAAGATGTAACATTTGTAAATACTTACACACCCAACATTGGAGTACCTAAATATAAAAAGGAAATATTAACAGACCTAAAGGGAGAAATAAGACAGCAATACAATAACGGTTGGGGACTCTATTACTGTCAACAGTTTGAATAAATTACCAAAAGCACAAAATAACAGGCTAATTTCCCTGATGAACATAGACGCAAAAATCCTCAACAAAATACTTGCAAACAGAAAAACTCAATAATACATTAAAACCATCATATACCATGAG